ACCAGCATCTTGGATCTGCCCTCCTCCTCACGCCCCTCCCCCACACTCACCACCGCCTCCCTGGGCTTTGCCTCAACCATCACGCGGCATTCTGGAACACTGCACCGGCCGTATGTTTGCTTGTCCTCCCAGAAGGCAGCTAGTTCTCCGGGCCTCAGCGGCCATGCTCCACACAGGGTGGTCTGTGGGAACCTGCTGGACCTTAGCTGGAGACGACCTGGTAGAAATCTCCAGCCAGCAAGCCACTCTTCGGGGTGATGAGTTATCCCTAGCAGTTCACAGCCACCACCGAGGAGAAAGTTCCTAAATCACGGAAAACCTCTGATTTCTGTGGGCAGTTTCTCTGTGGTTTTGCCTCCAGCCCTTCTGTGTCTCTGCTCCGCAGCCTGGCCGGGCTCCAGGCAGCCCGGGTTACACAATCCCAGCCGCGCCGAGCCCCAGCCAAGGACCGGCACCTCCCCCTCCTTCCCTGAAGCTCCCCCCCCGCCCCCGGCCATCCCAGTGCCAGGCAATTCTGGTCCTGGATGTGGGCCGACTCCAGTCTGGCTGTGGGTCACCGGCCACCAGCTTCTGCTGCTCCTCGCTGTGTCCCCTTTGGCCAGACACCTGAGCTCTCTGAGCACAGCGGGATCTAGACCGTCTTCCTCACACGGCGGTTGGCGTTATGAAACCCCAGAGCTGTGTCCACATGCTCTGCCCACAGGGGCGCGGGGAGACATCACTCCAACAGAGTTCCACTCAGATCGGCATGGAGCGTGCAGACGCCGTGCTGGGGCAGCAGGACAGCTCCGAGACGCACGTGTGGACGTCCGGTCATCGTGCGAGGTCGGCAGAGCTCACAGCCCTCATGGGACAGGTGCCAAAGATGACGGCCCCCCCGCTTCCTGCCCTGGCTCTGCACTTTCTCGCTGGGAACCCAGGGCTCGGCACCCTCGGAGGAGGAACAAGAGGACGAGCCACCTGCTGCGGGTCCGGGGGGCGGGGGACGCACCTGGATCCACCTGGAAGGACCAACGTGGTATTCTCAGGCCATGAAGAGGCTGCAGAAATGTGCCTTCAAGCCAACACAAGCTGTCAGACACCAAAGAGTCACCAACCTGCTTTTCAAGGGTTAATTCTCTCCGAGTCTCTTTGGAGAGAGGCAGCCGAAAACACCGTGCTGCCAGACCCCAGCAGAGGGGCAGCCCTGGCCTGCTGTCTCCTCTTCTTCCACCCGAATAAACACTGCCCCAACAGCCCCTTGCAGGCAGGCAAGCACACCAGCATGGAGGGGGCTGTGCAAGCCCGGAGGGTGCGTGCCTGAGTGTGCACGGGGGCTGCTGGGGGGCGTGAAAGACAAGGGGTCTGGAGAGCAAGAAGTGCTCCGTGCCCTGAATCAGAACCCATACACGGGGTGTGGAAGGGCAGTTGCCTAGAAACAGTCCAAACACGGGGTCTTTGGCTCGTGTCCTCCAACAGCCAGGCTTCTTCAGCGACAGTAAGTGCAATGGGTACAGCGTGCACACCGTCTGCCTCCCTCAGGACACCTGCAGGGTAAAACGTGTAACAGAAGGTTCTACTCAGTGGTGACGTCAGCGACTCCCAAACCACTTACCCATAGAAAAACCCAGTTTTAGGAAGCATTTTCGTGCCCATAAAATCCGAAAGTTGCCAAAAACCTACAAGTTCTCTAGGGCTTAAATGATGTCCATTTTACGGGTGACAAAACTGGCTAGAGGTGATCCCACTTTCCTCTGGATCTGGGACACGCTTTCCAAACTGAATGTACAAAATACTGATTGACAGAAGATGCTTTAGGACATGATTTAGCAAATCAAACAGGATGAGTCCATTTGCAAAAATTCCATTTCTCTACAGCTGGTCAGAAATACCCCAGAAAGAGAAGCAAGTCACCCATTCCTGACCAGGGGAAGGCCTTCCGTCTTGATGTGGGCTGCGCTGTGGCAAAGTACCAACCAGCCCCGCTGGAAGCAAGCCCGCAGGCCTGGGGTTCACAGAGCCAGGAAGCGGGCCCCTGACAGGAGGCCTCATCCCGGCTTTTGTGGCAGGCGTGGCTCTTCCACTGTGCAGCGGCTGGTTTCCTGGCCTCGGGACTCATGGGGCAGCAGTGGACCCGGCCCGGCTCTTAGGACATTTCGTCTCTCTGCCGGAACAGGGACTTTTTGCAGGGCCCCGGTCTGAAGCAGGGCTGCAGAGGAAACGGTGATCTCAGAAAAACGCGTCCCCGAAGGCTCAGACTGCAGAAAAGACTGTGCTCTCAGCCAAAGGGGCAGATGCAGGAGGCCATGGGGGAACAGCCCGAGCGGATCAAGTCAAGTCAAAACTGGGTCCCTGCAGGGGCTCTGGAACATCTGCAGGTCAGCGTGGGTTGGGGTCTGATCCAGCCAACCCCCACCAGCTGCCCCCTGACAAGGGGCCAGGGGGCGGAGACGGGAGGAGGTGGGGCGCCCTGACCAGGAAGGGGGGCAGGAGGTGGGGCGCCCTGACCAGGATGGGAAGACAGGAAGTGGGAGTGTGGAGGGTATGGAGGGCAGAAGCAGAGACAGCGGTAGGAAGGCCTTCTCACCACCCCGTGTGGCTCTCATCCTCAAGAGCACCAGGACACGCCCCCCACCACGGGAGGCCTGATGTCACCCCCCAGGGTGCCCTCCCAGATAAGTCCCGCTACACTGAACAATTCTTTGGCCTCAGGACAAGGTCTGAGCATTTCCCATCTCCGAAACACTCCAGGACATCACAGTTCTCCAGACTTGCTGCTCTGCTGCTTCTGGGGGTGCACCCAGCTGCTCCCTGATTCAGCCGGGCCTCTTCTCATTCTGTCTGGCCACCTCTCTACATGCCAAGTCCGTCCAGATGGGCCCCCACTCCCTGTAGCTAGGTTGGGGACGGCTCCTGTCTGGGCCAAGCTTGCCAATGCTTTATTCACAAGCACGTGCAATCACAGGGCAGCCAGAAGGCTGGGGCTGAGAGGTGAGGCAGGAGGAGGTCAGAGGGCTGGGGCAGGGGGAAGGCGGTTTGCCTTCTTCTCTTACCCTAAGTTTTCCCAGCAGCCCATTATCTGCTGAGCTTCTGAGCTGGGTTACTCATCCCCTGGTCGGCTGCTGGAGCTGAGTCCCTCCTCAGCTTGGGCCCCAAAGTATGGGGCTGCTGAGACCCCGGGGGCTCCCTGCCAAGCAGGCAGCTGAATGCCCCAAGAGTCCAGGGACAGTCCCAGGGGCCTCCGTAGATTTGCAGGCCTGTTTGCGCTGCCCGAGGATACCCAGCTTCCAACCTGCCCATGTTTGTAGGAGCCAGATGCCACCCCTTCTCCTCTGAAAGGGCACAGACCCCTCCTGCAGGCTCAGCGTCTTTTGCCTCCCACAGCTTAGTTTACCCCATAGGACGGGTCCCCACTCCTCCGTTCCTTCAGGGGTCACGGCACCCGCCTTCCAACACGTGGAGAAGGCGCGTGGCCAGCCCTGCTCCTGCTGTGACCGGGGTTCTTCGCCTGCACGCTGCACCCCACCCGCTCTAGATGGCCCTGCTCCTTGGGCCGCGCATCGGCTGGCTCGCAGCCTTGGAGGCTGCAGCGGGATATTTATTAGGGCAGGGGAGCCGGACGAGCCTCGTCGGGGAGCCCCGCACTCCTGGTGCGGTGGGACCCTGGCTACTCGCTGCAGCGGCCACCAGCCCAGCGGGAGCCATCCTCTGCTTGCTGGGTTGCTGCCCACAGGGGCAGCCCGTCCTGCCTGCTGGTTTGCTGGAAGTTTCGTTTCCCTTTGGAAACAGGACCTGAACTTCAGCAGCACTTGAGGCTGCAGAGGTGAGAAGCGCCCCCCCAGGGGAAGACAGGGGGCTGCTCTGAAGTTTACCCCTTGGGGCTGGATGTCCAGAGTCAAGGCCCAGCAGAGCCAGCATCAGGTGAGGCCTCCCTGGCTCGCAGAGGTCTTACTGAGTCCTCACCAGGTGGAGGGGCTGGCAGCTCCCATCATGGGGCTCCACCCTCACGACCTCCCACCTCCTACCATCACGACCGTGGAGGTTAGGATTTCAACACATGAATTTTGGGGGACGCATCCAGTGCAGAGCACTGGCCCAAACTCACCCACACCCGTGGCCAGACACTGTTGGTCCCAGGACGCTGCTGGGCAGCCAAGCCCACACGGAGGCACACGGGCCCACCAGCTGTTGCCCCGGGGCTGGGGGGCCCAAGGGAACCCGGCCTCACCCCAAGGCAGGGTGGTGAATCCTGGTCTCCTTGCAAGCGGGGGGACAGACACACCCACGTGGCCCTAGGTCCCAGGCAGCCTGCTGTCCCTAGCCATCTGCCGCCCAGGAGGGGCTCAGCGCTCTGTTGGGAGGTGCGCAACCACAGACACAGTGACGGCCCCACAGGGAGGCCCTTCCCTGCACAGAGCCCGGCCAGACTTCTGACCCGTGAGTACAACATACGGCATCACGGGAGATTTGTCTAAATGTGTCAGTATTCTAAAATAAGTGTAAACCTCAATGGGTGCCATGTCTTTTGTTTTTTTTTGTTTTTTTTACTTACTTATGCTATAAAAAAACTTAGTGGTTTTGAGTTTTTTGAGATATTGATGAAGACCAAACACCTTTGAGTATGAAGGTTTCAATAAAATTCACATCAGAGTAGTTCTGTTTTATTTAACCCATAAAAAGACCAAGAAGTTCCACGGTTTCAGTCAGCGCAAATAATATGGAGCCTGGTCTACAACAGAGATTTCTGTATTTTACATGAAATTCGTTCTACTCATGATGTCACTCAAAATACAAACTGGCAAGTACGTGAGTCCTTGAACATTTCTCGGCACCTGCCTCGAATCACAGCATACTTTCCTACACAGGTTGTGACAGTCTCTGGAGTTTGTACCAAACTCCCAAACAGGCAGGTGGTGTGCCTGAATCCCAAAGGGCCCACCAGGCCATCCCTCACCTTGCCAGAACAGAACGTAAGTGCCCCTCCACGGTTCACGGGGGAAGAAAAGGCAATTCGAATACTGTATTTTTAAATAAAAAGACTTTATTGATGATTTAAGATAGCAACTAACAATGTAAGGAAGCTTGGGAAGATATTACTTTCACGGTGGGGGTATATATGCACCTTGGAAAATATTTGGCTGGGTCATAAAATTAGCATTTTTAGTCATCTGTAAAGTGCTGAGAAATTTACCTCCAGTGACGCCTGCAGTAACGGTCTTAAAGCCCTCAGTAAGTACAACACGGATGGATGAATCCACGTGGGGAGCCACAGACTCGCTGCTCAGCCGCACACCCGGACGTGCGCACCGGCTTCGTGAGCGCAGAGCAGAGCCTGTGCGCCCGTGGGAGATGCGGCTGAGGGACGGGGCGCGTTGAGGGCAGGGCTGCCCGCCTCGGCCCGCGTCCCACAGCCACACTGACTAGCACCGTGAAAGAGCCGGCCAGCGCACTCTCTGCACATTTCCTACAACAGGGAAACACACACTTTTCGAACATGGGCATCAATACTCTTGGACGCGAGGAGGGAGGAAGAGTTTGGCGTTGATGCTCGAGTCCAAATGTCGATGAGGTTTTGAGCATTTTGGTTCAAAGCAAACATTATTTGTGAAATGTTACAGATCATGTATTGACTGAAACGTTAACTGTTAATTTTTAATAGACAAAAAAAGCAATATAAAAATACCACTTTGTTAAAATATACAATACACACAGGGTACCACTTTGGAAAACCCAGTTCGCTTCAGAAAGCAAACCAGTCCAGCAGACCCACTGGACTGGTGTGTGTTCACTGGCTTTCTTCATTGTTACAAACTCTACTCCAGAATTTAAAGACAGACAATATAAATAAAAGCAGTGACTCTGAATCAAGTAAAGTTATTATTCTAAGAATTGTTAGTAAGTGTCCATACTACTGAATAGGCTATATCTTCCCAGACGTTCTCAGTCTGCAAATTCTCAGGGTAGCAGGGCCCAGGAGTCGGTCTGGGGCACCCCGGGCGTGTACGTGGACTGCGGCGGTCAGGAGCGCGGGGTGCCCTCCCGCAGCTCCCGACGGCCCCCTTATGCTGCCTCCTCACAGCAGCTGCACCTGCCTCTGCGTGGACAGAGGGGACGGGCCGGCAGGAACCCACCACCACGACACCACAACGATATTGCACATGCCTTCCCCAAAGACCTAATTCATCCTCAACCAGTGTAGACAGTCTACAGCCCGCCAGGTCACCCAACCCAGCTGAGAGCCGTCCTCGGCCGCCAACGCCCCGACTCACGCGTTCAGCAGAGGGATCTGCCAGACCATGACAGAGGAGGCCAGCTCCTCTGGGCGCTGCTGCCGGGCCTTCCTGCTCACCCGCCGGTGGCCCTGGCCCCCACACGCCACCAGCACCGAGCTGGCTTTCGCCCTCCTGGCCCGCCGCCCTCTGCTCGGCAGGACGCTGGGGAACCGCAGGAGGTCATAGACCATGCTCTCCTCCGATCTGGGCTCCAGGGAGCCCGAGCCCTGTGAGGGGGTCAGCGACCCAGAGGACGAGGAGAAATCGCTTCGGTGAGTCACAGAGCCCAGCGAGTCCCCCAGCCAGATGGCGTCTGCGCCGCTCGGACTCAGGCCGGGCCCCTCGCAGGGCAGCGCCTCCTTCTGCTCTTCGTCCTGGGGCTCCGTGCCGGGGGGTGGGCTGTCTGCAGGCTTGTCCTTGTCTGTCCTGACAGCGGCAGAGGCCATGACCAGGAACTTGACAGGCCCGTTGTGCGCGTGGTAGGAGACCATGCCTCTTCCTGAGTGGGCGTCATTCCGCGAGCACCGCATGCAACAGACAGGATCACAGAGGAATCAGCAAGCATCTCTCTCTCGTCCAAACCACAGAAACCCATGCAGAACTCAGATACCAAGGGACAGGTTAAAGCCAGAATGGTGCCCGGTCGCATTCTCGTGGACTTCTACTTAATTCCCAGAAAGCTTTCAGAGTGATGGTCTACAGCCCTAATGCCCACATGGGACTCTTAGAGCAGTAAAGGAGCGGTGCTCCTGTGCCCCGTGCGAGGGTCCCCTCACCCACGCTACAGAGATAGATGTGATTGTCCTAAGTCTCAACTGAAAAATTAAGTGCCAGACATGTGTCTGTTTTAGGCACAAGATGCTTAAAATACCAGCAGCTTCCTGCCATCTCTCATTATAAGAAGGTTCTAGGGTTTAGAATGAGTTCCTTCCATTGTTTTAATTAAATTGGGGACTTTTCTATCCATCTATCTAATTAATTAATTTATTTAGGGGGGACTTTTCAATTTAGGAGTGATGTGATTTTAACTTTAAAATCCTCACCTCACCCAAGAGCACATGTCAGAAACTACCCAGAGGTCTGTTTTGAAACAAGGATTATTGCCCGTCCCCGAACCCCCCGCCCCTATGTTGTCAGGTGGGAACAGGGTGTCTACACTTTCCAAGCGCTTCACAGGTGAGATGACAGGGACATGGCAGGTGTGTGCCCTTTTTCACCAAGGGCTTTAAGCCTGACACACACCCGAGCCCTCACCTTCATCCCATCTTGGCCAAAGCAGATAAAATTACAGGATTCTTTAGCCAGGGTGAGCTGCCGTTCCTCCATGAACAGAGCGGACACCCCGCAGGTACGGGGAGGGGGGAGGGGCAGGAAGGCTCAGACACCAGCGAGGGAGGCGTCCCCCGACGTGATAAGCGGGGGGAAAACATCTCCGGGTCACCTAGGGAAGGTGAGCACAGGCGTCTCCTACGCGCAGTGATTCCGCGCCTGGCGTGCACCCCCAGAAGGACGCGGGCCGGTATCAGCGGAGGCGGCCAGACGAACACGCGCAGAGGCATCGCAAGCAACACAGAACACTGGAGACTGAACAGCCGCCGTGAGACACGCGGACGCCGAGGGCGTCCCCTACACCAGCGAGCATGAGTGAGCCACAGTCTCTCGCGCCAGTGAGGACGCCTCTCGGCAATAACGTTGAAACAAAAAGAGTTACGGAGAAATACCTACGTTAGGAGGCAATTCTAGGAAATGGGAAAAACAGCGAAATTACAAATTTGGTTTTTTGAGGTACAAACTGGCAAGACTATAGGGAAAAATCAATGGAATGAGGATATGCAACTCAGGCGAAGGGTTCTGTATGGTTGGGGGGAGGGGCACCAAAGGTAGGAGGGGCGTGCGCCGCCCGGGCCAGTGGAAGCTGGAGGGTGACCCCTTCACCAGCACCATGGAAACTGGACGTGTTCATCACATGCGATGCTGTGTGTGCCATATGTGGATCATCATAAAAACAGGAACGGAGACATGAACAAAACTGGAATCCTTGACCCTAACAGGTGGCTTTTGAACTCATGTAAACTACAGACCTATTTATGATAGTCGGTCACAGCTCGCTGAGGAAGGAAGGGCATCTGAAGTCACATGAAATATTCTGGTGTTGTCATTAGGAAGAGGGTGTAGGAACACAATCTTTATTAACATTCTGGTGAATTTCCTACAAATCCTTTTCTCTGAGATTTTTTTCCCACATGGCTGATATTATGTAATCAATATAAAATTTAAGACACCTCACATGCTGGTTTTACTCACAGAAGTAACGTTTTTCCGTATCATTCAAAGCTCTCCACATTGTTTTTACCAGCTTCGCTATATTCTAAAATGGCAGTACAACCATTTTCTTAAATCTCTCTTCACCCCTAATTTTTAAGTTGTGCCCTACTCTGTGCTATGAAAAACTGAATGCTGTGTCAAGTATCTTTTTTGCATCTTGCCTTTGTTCATAGACTCAGCTGCCTCCCAAGGCAGATTTCAGAACTGAAAAATCCTGACTCCAGACACACGAGCATTTTGAGGCTCCTGATCCAAAATGCCAAATCGCTTCCTGAAAAGACTGTACCCATTTGAACCCTACCAACATTGCAAAAAACCTTGTTCAGATGCTGAGCTTCCTTCTTTGTAATATAAAATGTAAAAAAAAAGCATCCACTGCCATTGAGCAAAATCATGTATCTAAATGCCAAAGAGTAGTAAGTGGCAACAAAGGGAACATGAAAACGTTTTTGGGGTAAGATTCTCCCTGGGCCACTAACATAAGCAGCAGAAAAACACAAGTAGGAACTGATGATTCAAATTAACAGTCTACAGAGTACGCTAAAAGAAGAAAAAGTAATAATTCACAGTGTGTAAGCAGCTCCCGGGATGCGAGAGCATGACAGACGGAGGGCTTGGTGAGAGCACAGGACGGGACAGGGGCCCGGGAGGCGCAGGCCTGCGGGGGCGTCTACTCACCAGTCACCTTGGGGATGCCCTGCAGACGCGGGACGGGCAAGGCCACCACGATGCCCAGGCTGGTGCCGACCATCAGCAAGCCGTGGCAGACGAGCAGGCTGGTCACGGACAGGCGCTGGTGCCCTGGACGGAGAGAGGGAAGTGGAATGGTCTCGGCAGCCACACAGCGCTGGGGACAGGCACTTGATGGCCCCCCTGGAAACACCACCAGCCTCCCGCCAGAGCGCTTGCTGTGCCAAGCACGGTCTCCCGGGGCTCTCCAACCACACGCTGTGCTCACTTCCACTGCAGGGAAGAGAGAGACCAGGGGCCGGGTTTCCGTCCTGGGCACCCCAGCAGAAGGAGCCCCCACGCCTGCCAGGAGAGAGGGGCTCTACCGTGCCCAGGACAGATGTCTCCGCACACGCCCCGCAGCACAGCTCAGGCACAGCAGGTGACCTCCTGCACCTGCTGCTGGAAACAGCACGGGAAACGGCACGGGAAAGGTTCATGGGGAACAACGGAGTCAGACAGGCCTTCCTGGCTTTGGCTGTTTGTCTAGTTTGGTTTTACAGCCACGGCCCCGAGACCCAGAGGCATCATCGGGCCGGGAGGGTACTTCTGGGCGCCGCGGGACTCGCTACAGCCACGCTTCTGAGGAGAGTCCTGGGGACTCCCAGCGTCCTTCTGCTCTAACATGGACACGCAGACAAGAATGGTTCAGTTTGCCCGTGACAAGCGAAGGTGGCATTTAAAACAACATTCTGCTTCTCTTCTGTAGAAATGAAGGTTACTTCCAATATGCCTGAATTCCACCTGAAGTCCATCTTGCAGAAAAAACACGGACACAAATGGTCTAATACCAGGGCCAAAGGCAGAATAACATGACCATTTTTATGAATTTTCTTGCAACAACAAAACATACACACACACACACGCACACACACACACACACACAGACACAAACGCAAGACCCCCTCCCCAGAAAACCCCAAAACAAAACCAAAACAAAATTTACAAAAAAATTAAAAGATTTGGTTTTATTTCTCAATATAGACATATGTTCTTTTAAAAGCTAATAGTGTTTTTGTCCCCAGGAATTCTGGACATCTGTCTGTTTGAATGACTTCATTTTGGAGGTGGGTGGGCACTCTGTGTTGATTTTGCATACAGGTATAAAATATCTATAAAACATAAAGGTACAGGTGTGCAGACACTTTCAGAAGCAAATGAGACCAACTCACAGCCATTATTACTGAGTGACACATCACATACTGGAAGGCTTATCCACGTGCTCATAATAAACACACCCACAGAAGGAACAGAAGCAGCAATGAGCCTCAGTGTGGGAGGAAATGCACCAGCTGGGACTCTCTCTGCACCTCCAGCCCTGAACATAACCACAGCACACAGGCAGGGCCCAGCTGCTGGCTCACCCAGGCTCAGCCGCCAACCGGTTCGCTGCTGGCCCACCCAGGATGTCACCAGGATGCAGGAAGACACCAAACCCCAATCCTCAGTTTTGCTTCCTAATTCACAAATAATCTTGAGTCTGGTTTCATTTGCTGATGCTTTTGATGTGGTCAATGTGTATTTTTTTTTTTTAAAGTCACACTGATTTTTAAAAAATCCTAATTTAGCCATTTTATGTGGCTAGGTCCCTCCTGGCAGGCAATGTGCTCACTCAGTGGGGACACAGGAAGGCTGATTTAACATGACCTCTCGGAACTTTTCCATCAAAATATTTTCCCTTGAATATTCCGGACAGCGCAGCAAAACCTCCATCACGGGGTAACTGTGACTGCTTGCGACCTACAATTCACAAAGCTCCTTCCAATGTGTTTGCTGTAAATTCTATGCCTTCATAACCCAGAAGTTTGCTCTACAAGATGTGCGTGCTCGTCACGGACAAGTTCACTGTCATTTGTTAGACAATGTGATCTGTGATGTGGTCAGTGCCAAAGAGCATGAGTGTGTTTTCAGAACTGAATTCGGAGTGGAAGACAGCAACCCTGCCCAGTCTGCACAATCCTAGAGTCCGCAAGTGGGAGCATGCTCAGATCCCCAAGGATGACCCAGATTCCGTGAAGCTTTGTTCACGTCCAACAAAGGGCCTGAGTTATAGAATATCGATTTTATTTTCAAATTTTGTTCTTTCTAGCGTGGGAAGTCTTCATCTTTAGAACCTACTGGAATTTGATAGTCCAGTAAGAGCACAAAAGGGTAATTTTATGTATATATGTACACGACACATCCCACCTGAGCCACGTCAAGGACACAAGTCTAGACTGGAGGTTGGATGTTTGTGCACACACAGAACGCGCAGGTGTGCGGGTGCCACTGGGCGGTCACGGACAGGAGTGTCCCGGGGGTGACACAGCCCAGTGGACTCCAATGTGCCTACGTCCGCGTAGCACAAACACGTGCAGAGTCACCTGAAGGTAAAGCTGAGTGCACCAACACTTGTCACTGGGAAACACTGGCCTGAGGGTGACACGGGTGGGAGGAAAGGAGGATATGGCTCTTTGGTTATCTTGTTCTCTAACGCACAAAATGCAATGCAAACCAGACCAATTTTGGGTCACGGCTTTCCGAGCGCGGTATTCAACAGCCACGGTGGGAAGCATAACAGGTGCAAGAGCATTCTAGTGGGACTGAATTCTGCTCTCCACACCCTCCTCCTCCTTCCAGGTTGACGGGCCACGGCGGGAAGACAACCTCCGGGGTGAACAGGGTGTGCGGGGGGGCGTCAGATGCCCCCAGACACTGGGGGTAAGCGACTTCGGGAAACCATACGGCCCGGTCTGGACGGGATGCTCACTTTGTGCTTTTGCAGCGGCAGATGGACACCGGGATGAAGACCCAGGACAGACGGACCCGGCAGACAGCGTCGGAGGGAGCGTGTGTTGGGACCGCAGGGGCAGAGCCGAGCCCAGGGTGGACGCCGGCATCTGGCCCACGGAGAGTGCACTCGGGGAAATGGTGTTGCCAGATGCCCGAGGCCCTCGCTGCACACCCTCTCGGTGCTGCCAGCGCCCATGTGGGTCCATGATCAGCACTCACAGAGCCACGCAGGTGGGAAAACAAGGGAGTCATTAATGGAGGGTAAAACCAGCCATGAACACGGTCACGAGGAACGGAGGAAACAGCACCCATGCGTGGGCCTGTAAACGCCGCGTGGACTTGAGGTCGGCAGGGGGAGGTGGCTCACAGTCCTTGGAGACAGGTGCTGGCCTGGGGCGTGTCTCGGCTAGTCTGTGGGGGGCCTGGACCCGCCGTGACCTCGGGGGGCAAGGGCAGGGTGCCAGCGGGTCCGGGCTCCCACTGGCGGGCCTGCTTATCCGGTGAGGCTGGGGACAGCGGAGGCAGGACTCGGGGGCTCAGGCGGCAGCCCCTTGGCAGCAGCCACCCACTGTCCCCCTGGAAGGACCCGGCCGCTCATGGACAAGACGGCTGCCCGTTCTGGTTACGGGTGAATCTGACTTTGTTTCCTGCCACCCACGACCACAGACCCCCACTGCAAACATCTGCTCCACCAGCGTGTGTGAAGAGAAAACCCATCATCCCCAGAGAAGCACCCATGTGCTCACAGAGCCAGGAGGCCGTCCTCCATTTCCTTCAACGTCAATTGTCTGTTCTGTAAATCTGGTGTCCTCACGACACAAAAACTGCCTACATTCTTCAGGACGTGATTTGTACAGAGTTGCCCCCTGCACCTGATCCCCTCGCCACATGCACACGTGTGCACACACGGCAACTACGAAGTGAAGAATGTGCTCGTTAGCCTGGCTGCACTGAGCCCTTCACAATGTACACAGACGTCAAAATGAGGAGCCGCACGCCAGAAACAGCTCTGTGGGTCAGACATCCCAGTAAAGACGTAAAAACAGCAAAGAAACTGCTCTCACGCACTCACCAAGCCCAAATGTGTCACCCACCCTATTTCCCGCCCCCATCCACCCTCAACTCCTCCCTCCCCATGTCCAACACCAATGTTTCACTTGTCAGAGGCAGTCTTTTTGGAACTTGACCCTTTATCCTGTTTTTCATGCATCAACGGCAACTATTCCTTTCACACCTTCTGCTGAAGCTACACACGTCTTCAGAATTGTTACCAACCACCACCCACCACCAACCACCCCCAATCAGCCAACAACCAGCCAACAACCCTCAACCAGCCAACAACCAACCACCAACTAACAACCACCCACCAACAACTACCAACAATTACCAACCAGCCAACCACCATCAACCAGCCAACCAACAATAACCAACCACCAACCAAATACCAACTAGCCAACAACCAACCAATAAGCACCAACCGACCAACTACCAACCAGCCAACCACCAACCACCAACTAACTACCAACCAACCAACCGCCACCTATCAACCAACTGATCAACAACCACCAACCGACCAATCACTAATGGACAATCAATCAACCATCAACCACCAAACAAAAACAAAACCTCCCAGTGGTACCACCACAGTCTTACTTCCTTTAAATGATGGATCAAAAATAAATATGTATACACAGGATACCTGGCCAGAATATAATTTGCACTGAATCTGTGAGATTTTGATAACTTGCTTTACTGCCTACGTAAGCAGGGGACCCAGATAACTTCCAGGAGGTTTTCTTCACACTTATGGGCTTGCAGAACTTAAAATCCTATCAAACATGTAAAGTCAACTTGATTGGGGTCCTCTGATCTGGCTTATTAGCCTTTTGCTATTAACTTTTCCAAACTGAAATCTAAATTCAATCTCTTTACCTCCCTGGTCCCCACTGCTCTTAAAATATCTGCAGCAAAGCTCCTCCCTCACACATATGCACACACACACGTAACCCACACTCTCATCTGCACACAATCAGTCCTCACACATGCACCCACCCACACTCATGGACACACAAGTGCAAGCGCACGCGCACGCGCACCAGCACTCAGGCCATGTGTTCGGCTGTCCCCCGCCTGGTCCTCCCCTCCCGGCCCCTTGGATGCACACCGCAGGGCTCTCCGGGCTCCTGACACCCCTTCTTTCTGACTCTGCATATGCTCCTCTCACCTCCTGAGGGTGGGATCTCATGCTCTGACCTGACACTTTCTGCCCTGTCCCCTGTCCCTCATCACTCATCGCCCATCAAACTCCCCAACTGTGGCCCCTTTCCTGACGCCCCACCCACGCGCCGGACCCCCTTCCAATTTCCTACGAGGCTGCTCTGCTCAGCACCAAATGCAACGGATACTCTTCCCCAAACTGGCTCTCTGTGACCCCATGTCTGTTGATGATTTTACGTTCTTCCCAAAAACCCAGGCCCCAAATCTCAGACTTTCTGGCCCTTCCTCTCCCTTGTCAGTCTTGCCCCAGCGGACTCTGCTTCTCCCTGGGTTCTCACGGCTGCTTGCAAGGTGTGCCCCTCTGGACCACAGGCGGGTCCCCACTGCCCCGCTCCTGCCCTTGCAAACTCGCGGCCCCACAAACTCTTCAGCCTCTTCCTTCCGTCTGTCTCCTCCTACACAACGGCCACCTGCTTATCGCCACACCTGCTACGTGCCTGCAGGTCCTGGCCACGCGCCTGCATAACCTAGTGGTGCCTACACGGACCAATGATGTGCCCACGTGTGCTCACTACATGCATACGTAGAGCAGCCCCGTGTCCGCACACACCAGCTACATGTCCACACACACCGGCCGCGCGTCCGCACACACCAGCTACATGTCCGCAAACACGGCCGCGTGTCCGCACACACACCAGCCAAGCATCTGCACACACCAGCCACGCATCCGCACGCACACCAGCTACATGTCTGCACACACCAGCCGCGCATCCACACACACACCAGCTACATGTCCGCACACACCAGCCTAGCGTCCGCACACACACCAGCCGCGCATCCGCACGCACACCAGCTACATGTCCGCACACACTAGCCGCGCGTCCGCACGCACACCAGCTACATGTCTGCACACACCAGCCTAGCGTCCGCACACACCAGCCGCGCGTCCGCACACACACCAGCTACATGTCCGCACACACCAGCTGCGTGTCCGCACACACACCGGCCACATGCTCATAGTCAGCAGCTACACCCATGTACCATCTGCATGTTTATACACAACATACACATGTGAACTACATGCTTATACAAACCAGGTACGTGAGTATGTTCTAGCTACGTGCTTGTGCACACCAGCTACCTGAAATACAAGTGTATACATACTGGCTAGACGCTTACAGACCGGCCACATGACTACACCTACACGTGTGTACACGCTAACGACATGCTCATACGTACCAGGTGCCTGCTTGTACTTGCTGGCTACGTGCTTATGTATACGCTACTCCCATGTTTCTGTATGTGCAGCACATACACTACACGTATGCACATGCACACACTAGCCACGTGTGCACGCACGAGCTACCGGCTGTCCTCACAGTCCGATTTCTGCACCTTTGCCTGTTCCATCCCCTCTGCTGTGGGCACCCTTCCCGCTCTGGGCCTGCTGGGCTCCCAGCTGAGATGCTGCATCTCTGGCTTCCCCCAAGAGCCCTCTCTACTGAAAAGTGACTCTTTTCCTTCTGTTCATCAAGTTGAGGTCCCTGCTCCCAGGGTCTGGTCTTACCTGGCTCAACTACAAGCAATGTCTATGGTCACAGGCTTCTGAGCTATAAAAACCACGCTCTAATTTGGCTCTATGCTAACGCACAGACTCACTCCTGTGTCCTTGCCCGGAAGGGGCCACGCCTGCACTCCACGCCCCCCACCCTCTCCCTCAGGACCCTCCCCGTCCGGATCTAATTACCTGGCAGCATATGGTGAACGGGGGTGGCTATGTTGATGTCCTGCAGATGCTTGAGTGTCTCAGTGTGAAAGAGGCGAAGTGTGGACCCGGAGGTGAAGGCGATCCAGATCCCCACGCCAGCGATGACCATGTGAGAGACCACCATGCCTTCTTCCTGGTGGGCCTCGAGCTGGTTCTGGAAAAATCAAGGAGAATTGATGCACGGGGCTCTGGCTGCAGTGGGGGCCTTGCCACCACGTCACTGCCTGCTGAGCTGGCCCTCTGTGCCGCAGCTTAACCCCCAGGTCATACAGCTGTCTTGGCCGCGAGTGGCCAGCTGGCACTCCAGAGGGGCTCAGCGTGACCCCCAAGGACCTACAGCGAGGGGGCTACTACTCCAAAACCACAGGGACCTCCGTGTCGGCAAGACACACAGTAGCAATCGAACTGCCCCCGTTCCCGCTCCCAAGCAGTATTCACGGTATTTCCCAGCGACCGTGAATCCCAAGAGCCTGCTGGAAGGCCTACCCACCACCAAGGTGGGGCCCAACAGTCACTGGCAGGTTGGCGAGCACGGGAAAGCAAGAGCGACACAAGGAGCGGAGAGTGGGAAGGCCTGGGAACGTGACGGCCAGCCAGCTCCCTGGGACACCAGCGTGGAGCCGGCAGCCCCTTCCCCAAACCCTGCGCAGGGAATGCAGGCCCACGCCCTGGCCTCGGGCAAGCCCTGTGAAGGCCTGCCAGGCCCCACTGCTCCGAACCCTCGTGGGCTGCCCGCGGGGCTCTGAGTCTGCACCCACCCCGGCCTGGTCCCTGAAAGCCACCTGCTACTTCTTTGCGGGACCAGGTCCTTCCTTCCCGAGCATCTGGCCGAGCTCTGGCCCCTTGGCTCCATCCTGCCGACCCTGCTCCACGCAGACCCGTGACAGGAGAATTTTGTAACTTGGCTGCAGCATAGATGGGGAGCCCCAGGTGGGCAGCGAGCGGCACTCCCTGGCAAGTCTGGAGAAGGGGCGTGCAGGGGTGAAGCTTGCAGAATCGGTGTGTAGACACGGCATCTTAAAGCAGCCCCTGAGCTCTGCGGCAGATCAAATCCCGCACAATCCTCCAACCGGCGGGAAACGAGATGGGCTTGCCTCTCTGATCTCACGGCTGTTCCCCAACATCATGGAACAGGGGGGTTTTCAGAGCCCATCACCCACCAAGGAAGCCGTGTTTACACATCTTGTGTGCCCACCCCACACAGAAAGGGGTCGCCGGGCTTCACCCCTCACCCAACCCACGCACCCTGTGTGGCACGCCGTGAGCTGAGCGGAGGGTGAACACAGGCGTTTCCACCGCAGTTAGCAGCAGAGCCCTTGTCCACCTGCACCCCGAGGAACCCAGACAGGGAGTGGGGACCCCATGTTCCGAGCTGGCCTGGACGCCCCACTCCACACAGCCATCACGGGCACAGATGAGGCTTCACTCTTCTGGGGGCTTCTCGGGGAGAAAGTTCCGTTTTGTCTCTCAGGAACCAGTACAGAATTCCCGATGTGAGGGCTGCAGGAAGCGGAGGGTTAACTACACCCCATGGCCACGTGTCTGCCCGCGGGGCTGACTGATGGGGCGGCAGAGGATGGGCCGCAGGAGATGGGCACGCACCCCTGCACGCTCCCCCTCCCCTTGTGAGGACAGGCTGGCACTGCCCGCGGTCACTGCCACACGTCACCACAGTGACGCAACACAGATTGCTGGCCCTCGATCGAATCCAGCAGGCCCGGGGCCCAGAACTATTTCTAGAATGTTCCCAGGAGTGCTCCTGGGCCACATCCACCTTTCACTGCTTTCCAGCAAGTGATTCATTCCCTGCTGTTCATCGTCCGTCCTCTGTCTTATTGGTCATGTCACGCGCATCTGTGCTGTGCAAAGCGCCACGGGAGCGCAGGGGTGCTGGGGTCGTGCACTGACCATGACCACTGCCGCGTGCTTCTTCCCGGAGCCGCACCCTCCGCAGGCCCATGGGTCCCGTGGGGTCCGCCCGACTCTCTCCTCCATATGGGTGGTCTCTGGCAGCACCCCCCTAAACTGCCAGCAAACCGACCTTCAGAGAACAGGAAGGTCAGAACACCTGCACATTAAATCCCTCAGTGGCTCACCATCGCCCACGGCAGGGGGGCGTCCTGGCAGGAAGGACACATGCGCCCCAAGAAAGCCAGCCAGACTCTCTGCTTTCCGTGGGACGCCTCCAGCATGGTGAACCCCGACAGGCCCCCCACGAGGACTCACAGGTCCCGGGGAGAGAAGCCCCGGCTCCTCAGGGTTCTGCCCGCACCTGCGCCAACTGCACCTCCCACCACGCCGCTGGACTCGCCCACGCCTTTCTCCCACCCGAGGTGCTCTGCTCCTTCCCTTCCAGGGATGCCTGCTCTGCCTGGACAGCCCGGCCTCATGCGGGTTCTCAGGCGGGAATAATTTAGACTACTTCTGTCGGCGCTCTGTGTTCTTGGCATCATAGCCATGATTCCTGTCTTCCTGCCCACAGCCTGCGTGGCCAGAGCCACGAGTGGCTGTCTTTCCGTCTTGTAGGATGCTGGCGAGGCACATCCAGGACAAAACCCAGAAGAGCTATCTGTGGTCCAACGGGAGGTGCTGCACCCCGCGGGTCTGGCTGTGGCACCTGGTGACCTTCCCAGAGCGCGCCCTCCACTGCCCCTCAGTGGGCTCGCGCAGTCTACGACCATCTCCCACGTCCGCAGGGACTGCCCGCTCCCAACCACTGTCCGCCTGCACTCTGGCACATGAAGGAGCTCCGGGCCGGAGGCTGACACCCCACCTTCTAAGATCACAGAACATGCCGCCAAGTGTGTCCCAAAGTAGGCTTCACGCATGTCTTAAAACACGTCTCAGTGAGCACTGGCAAAATGGCTGAAGGTCCCTACCCTGCTGAACGGATCATCCTTTCTAAGGAGAGTCTGGACAAACATTTTCAGGAGTCCATAATGACTACAGTTACTCACAAACTTGCAGAGGTTCACACCAGTCACTGCAACGAGCCCACACCGTGCTCGCGGAGATCAAGGTGATCCCTCCCCTGAATGGGTTCCTTTCTCTACTACCTTTCATGTGATAGTTGGAGAAATTTTTAGTCATGACGTGATTCATTCTATTGGCTGAAAACAGTACTACTGTTAGTATCTGGGTTTACGTAGAGAGGAGGTAAGGAATGGTCATGGACAGCTTGGCTTCTTTTTCTTCAAGTTTCGTAAGAACTCTTTTTCTATTAAGGACATTAACTTTTGGTCACAGAGATGGACGGTATTTTCTCCATTTGTCATTTACAAAACTTTCTGTACAAACACGCACACTTATTAAATGTGAACAAAATACGTTCTAAAACGACCACGTTCATTGTTTTATTATGGCAACCTCAGAGCATGTGTCTGGCTTAGGAAATCTCCCGCACTGCAGAGTAATGCGAACATTCTATGGCTTTCTATCTAAGTTTGTGATTTTGTTTATGTTTTAAAATTACCTCCATCTGGAACGTTTAGGAGGGAAAAGACCCAGGGCCTGGGGCACGGCTCCATGTTTCCACATGGCGCACTATCTCCTGATCCTTCACCGAATAATCCCAGCGCTGCACTGACTGGAAGGGCCACCTGACCTGGGGCCAATTTTCCCCGTGTCCTCGAAGACTATTATGTTCATACTAAATACATTTTTTTAAAATAGTGTGTTTGTGTTAATTAGCAGGTAAACGATGAACAATTCTTCCACAGACACATAGCCACATGATGGTTAGCTGAATTACCTAGTTAATCCTGCCTTTCACAGACAGATCTAGGAGGAACTTTTCTCTTGGTGCAGGGCCATGGGCAAGAGGCTGCCTGCCTCCACCACAGACCAGGGGCTCCCTGACCGCCAGCACTGGAGCTTAAATGGGGCGGGTTCTAGAAACGCATCTCTTTCACGCCGGAGACTCACTTAGAACGACTTACCTCTATCGCGTGGGTCTCGGTGCTGACTGTGAACACCTGGCCCCCAGAAGCTGCCCACAGCGTGTCCTCCGTCGTGACAAGACTTCTAACCGGCAGGACGCCTAATTTTATCACTTTCTGAGGTTCGGAATTCCAGGATCCATCTTAAAAAAAAATTTTACTTTCATTCAGATTCAGTTATCTGTGCACAGGGCCTGGGGGAAAGGATCAGAGATCATTTTATGGGCTTGTCTTTTTTTTTTTAAGTAAGGTCTACACCCAGCGTGGGGCTGGAACTCACGACCCCGGCATCAAGAGTCACAGGCTCTACCAACCAAACCAGCCAGGCGCCCCACAGACCATTTTAAATAACAAGCAAAATACCACTGGTAATTCTGAGGCTGACACCTGGGTCTGGGTATCCAGAGCTCGAGGAGTTGGCACCATGTCCATGAGACAAACTGACTCAGTAATGGAGCAATGTTCTGAGCCCAGTCCGGCCGCCTGGTATGAATCGTTCAACCTGCGTCTCGGCTTTCTTCCCTGTAACATGGGGACAATACCACCACGCGCCCCCAAGGCTGCATGAGAGCGTGAGGAGTGACCAAGCGATCAAAGAGCTCAGCGCCGTGCCCAGCACACAGGTGTCCAGTGAGTCCTATCATCTACAACGACAACACACGAAACGGCTTGGTCGTCAGTACAAAGCTCTATATCTGAATCAGCGTGGGACGAGGCTTACATTTCCCAATTACCTGTTCTTCCTTTTGAGATACCCCTGGCCACAGACTGTGTTATCGGGACCCACCACATCTTCAGTGCATTAAAAAAAAAAAGTCAGAACTGGGGGAAGAGGCTTCCCTCACTTCTCACGAACTCGCTCCATGCCTCCGGCACAGGCAGGGATGAAATATTTTGCTTTGAAAATATTTCCAAAGGCCTACTGATGAGGTTTGTCACACTTTATATGAAGTGTGAGTCAACAGGCAACTGGGATGGCAATAAAAAATATTTAAAGCAAGACTTCACATACGTTTTCAAAGTGTGTAATTACCCCGTGAAACATTAAAATAAATTCTTCAATTTTCAAAGTAACAATTAATTAAGCCACGATGCCTAAGAACACAACTATAACCGTTAGTCTGCCAACGCCTCAGATCCTAATCAAATAAAGCACTCTGCTGAAGGAAGGGGGCAAGGTCTTGGCTCCAAACCGAGTGCTTGCTTCTGGGTTCTATATTTGAACCACTGAACCTTTTCATCCAAACCCTGTTTATGAGTAACTGTCTTAAGCCGAGGGGTGCCGACGCCAAGAGGCACCTAGTCAAGTTTTGAACTTTGTAGCCTACTTTCAAGTTATGATTCAACTGTACTGGAAATGCTTTTATGCTGCAGTTAGGCCAAAAGATGCTGCCGGACAATTACCAGTTCCAATGGATACTGACCTGCCGTTCACTTGTAAGATCTGCACCGAAACCAGGGTATCATTGTGTGGTTAAACACACGCACACGGTCACACATGCACACAGCCACACATGCATACACATGCATGCAGTCCCACATGCACACACATGCAGTCCCATGTGCATACACAGTCAGGCATGCCCACAGCCACACATGCATACACATGCATGCAGTCCCACGTGCACATGCAAGCAGACCCACGTGCACACACACACGTTAAATATACACACGCAGTCCCACGTGCACACACATGCATGCAGTCACACGTGCACATGCAAGCAGACCCGTGTGCACACACATGTATACACATGCAGTCACACATGCACACACAGTCCCACATGCACACAACCACACATGCATACACATGCATGCAGTCACGTGTGCACATGTGTACATGTAAGCAGACCGACGTGTACACATATACACACAGTCTCACGTGCACACACATGAAAACACAGTCATACGTGCACACACAGTCCTAGGTGCACACACTCCCACGTGCACACAGCCACACACGCATACATATGCATGCAGTCCCACATGCACATGTAAGCAGACCCACGTGCACACACACATATACACGCAGTCCCACGTGCACACACATGCAAACACACGGTCATGCGTGCACAGGCAGTCCCACGTGCACACACACCCAGTCACGTGTGCACAGTCCCACGTGCACACAGCGACACATGCATACACATGCATGCAGTCACACATGCACATGTGAGTAGATCCACGTGCACACACACGTATACACACACGCAGTCCCACATGCACACACATGCACAGTGACACATGCAGTCACATGTGCACACACAGTCCCACGTGCACCCACACATGGTCACATGTGCACACACAAGCACAGAGGCTTTTTCATCCAGGACTCACAACCCTAAGAAGCCCTGCAGTCTTCACTTCCGATGGGATTACAGCAGTTCGGGGTGGAGATACAATTCTCCCCAACACACACAAGGGCCTGAGAGTGCAGGGCCGAGGATGAGTGCTCCAAGTGACTGCCCCATGGTGTCTGCGTCCTTGGAGAGCCGTCACATGGCCACTGCCAAGTCCTCTGGAGCAAGAAATCTGCTGCAGACATGTTATTTTGCTTAAGGATTAACTTCTAACAATTGAACTTTGTTCTCTGAGCACCTAAGTTACTCTTTCTGCAGGTCCTGTGCTCTGGGCCCTTGCACAAAATCCCCTGAGGGCAGCAGGGAGGGCACACCAGTGGGCACTGGGGCTGTGGGCGTCAACTCCAGCTGACAGTCCACCTGCCTGGGAACAGCCTGTCTCTGGAGTCTGCACTCTAGACCAGAGTGCTCAACCAGGCTGCCCAACCACGGCAGGGCCCCGTTTTGAGCTGACACTAATTTCCTGCAGAATTCCAGATTTCAAGCTCCCTAAAAAGTCAGACTTGCAACAGTGCTTGGCTGAGAAGCGGTGCAAGGGCGGTGGCCTCCAGCAAGTCTCCCACCTCGGAGAACACAACAGCCGAGAACAGACCTGTCCCCAAAGACGACATTCAGACGGCCCACGGGTGCACACATGAACGCGCGCTCAACACACTCAGCAGCAGAGAAATGGAACACTTGTGGGAATGGCCATCCTCAAAAAGACAAGAGGTAACAAGGGTTGGCGAAGACGTGGAGGAAAGGGAGCCCGTGTGCACTGTCCGTGGGAACGTAAACCAAGCAGCCGCTCTGGAGAACAGCGTGGAGGTTCCTCGAGAGACGAAAAATAGAGCCACCCTCCGACCCAGTAATCCCACTCCTGGGGACTGATCCGAAGGAAATGAAAACACCAGTCAGAAAAGGTAGTTGCACCCCCACGTTTGCTGCAGCATTATTCACAACCACCAGCACATGGAGAAGCTCTAAGTGACCATCGATGGTTGACTGGACAGAGATGTGCTGTGGAATATTATTCACCATGAAAAACAAGGAAACCCTACCGTTTGTAAGGACATGGATGAACCTTGAGGGCATTATGCTACGTGAGGTCAGTAAGACAGAGAAAGACGAATACCACATGATCTCACTCATGTATGGAAGCTAAAAACCTCCAACTCGCAGAAATACGGTGGGGGTGGGGTCATAGAGGATGGGGTGTGGGTGGGGGAGATGGTGCTTAAAGGTACACACTGGCAGCCAGAAGGTGAGTCCTGGGGAACTCAATGCACCGCACAGACCTGAGTCCACAACACTGCGTTATGAGCATCCCAGTTTTAAGAAAGAGGGGCCAAAGTGCTCTTACCACGGGAAGAGAAACAGTACATACGTGACAGGAGGCAGGAGTTAGCTAACGCAGTGGCGATGGCTCTGCAGCGCATACATGGATCCAAACCTTAAACATGCGCTGTGCTATATGTGAATTATGTTTCAGTACAGCTGGAGGATAGAGAGAAGGTTTCACCAGCCCCAAATTAAATAAATATAAACGCTGAATAAATTCATCGCACTGGGAGAAATACACATCAATATCCCAAATCAATTTAGGAAGTTGAGCAGACGGGACTGAAATTATGGTACTTTCAGACTTCCAGATTTTTAGCAATTCCCATGAAAGTCCATCTCTGCCAGAGAGGCAGAAAGCACACCTTGAGTGAGCCACCCAAGCCAGAGACAACGGGGGAAAAGAAACACAGAGCGATGCCATGGTAAATATTCACATGCACCTAAAGCAACGCGTACTTCATTCTAAATACAGCTGAGCCCATGCAGAAACCATGCGTCTGAGCCACAGTGCTCACTCCACGGGGCACACCTGCTGGCGGGGCCCTAAACCCGGGTGCTCCCAGGTCTCGACGGCACACAGGCTTCCCGCCCTTCCCAGCTCTCTATCCCTGGGTGTGCAGGCAGGGCTCCCTTGCCCCAGGACAGTGAGGGGCGTCCCTCAGGCTCGGCTCCACCGCCTCCCTGTAGAAGGCTCGGACCCGGCACCTCCCAGTGCTCCCCGGGCACCCTGAGCGCTGTTTACCCTCGGTGAACTCTCCGTCCCCGGGTGGGAGAAGTGGGGACTTGCTCCCTTCTGCAGCTGTGGGTGAGGCAGGAGGCAGAGCGGCTGTACGGCTCCCTGCCTCCACCGCCAGGAGCCGCGGCCCGGTGCCCACGCTGGAGACACCCACGTGCGCCAGGAGGCTGCAGACCCGCACTGTGGCCCTCCGGTGTCCCCGGAACCCACCGGAACCCTGGGCCAAGCCCGAGACAAGAGGAGGAGCCTGAGCGGGAGGGACGACAGCCAGCACGTGCATCCAGGCGGTCCTTACTGTTGGGCGCAGACCTGGTCCAGCCACTCAGGCGGGCAGCCTGCGGTCCCTTCCACCCAAGAAGACAAAGCCTCGCAGCCCTGAGTGAGGGCACGGGCAGCGAGGTGGCTGGGGTCTCGGCCGTCGGGATAAGGACACACATGGACCTCAGCACTTTGTGGAATTGGGGGGCGTGGGCCGGGAGACCCATGTCTGAAACCACTTCCCACCCATGCAGCTGGGGGCAGCTGGGGGCAGCTGGGGGTGCTTGCGCTTCGCACTGTCCTCTCGAGGTTGAGCAAGCTGCATGTGCCTTGGGACGTGTGCTGATAGACGCTCGCGGGGACGTGACCCAGGAATATGAAGCTCTGTCCACAGGAAACCCCCAGAAACCACCACAAGACTGGACATGTAGACGTGCCACACGCAGTGTAGACACAATTACCTTCTGCTTTCGCATAGACGGCCACGGCGCCATTGACCAGGCCGGCATACAGGCTCTGGGGTGTGCAGGCGAGGCTCAGGACCGTGGACTTGTCCGGGGTGAAGAAGTGCTGCAGACGCACCTTCTTGGAGCCTTGACTGCTTTTATACACAGAAATGCTTCAAGAGAGACACAAGAGCCAGTAAGTGCATGTGTCGGGCGGGAGTGCACTTGGGAGGCAGGGCCCACACAAGCGTGCACAGCAACTCCCCGCACTGCCCCAGCCCCTCCCCGCCCCCGCCCCGCACGCACACACTGCTGCCACCCATCTCGTCCCGTATTGTGAAGGAGAAATTGTGGAAGAAATTACTTCTTCCTAGTGAGTTCACATCAGGAAAACCACCGTAAAGTGCCTCTGAACGGTGGCAGGGTTCCGTACCCGTGCAGCACAGACCAGGCCCTGGTATACTCCAAACATGAGCACTCAGCGACTTGTAAAAGCAGGACCAAGAAGAGACAGGTCAGGGAAAGCCGCCAGGCAGAACTGGGACGTTCCCTGCAGTCGCCATTCCTCCTTGGGGGTTTCCTGCGGTCATTCCCCTGGGCGGGCAGCGACCGAGCCAATCCCACCACATGGTGTAACCCCTAACAGATGGGGCGGGTGACCGACCTACTGGGCTTGTCGTGGAGCAGCGCAGGGCTCACCTCCCCTCCTCGGTCCCCAGGCAGACGGTGGGCACGCCCGGTGCTCTCCCGGCCGCGGTCTCGGGCTCCGCGTGCCGCTCCTCTGCAGGGATGAACACCATGCACAGGATTCGAGACTCCACGTTGAAGCACTCAATGACTTTGGGGTTGGAGTTTTGAAACGAGACGACGGCAATCTGGCCCATCTGGCTGGTGCAGCTTCCGATCTGGGGGGGAGAGGAGGGCCTGGAGCTTCCACAGCACCGGACCCCTGACCTCCAGGTGATTTCGTATCGCCACAGGAACCAACATACTTCACAGAATCAAGAGCTGTTTACACCATCTGCTCGCAGAGCCCGCCTTTCCTTTTCAGCGTATGGGGTTACTTTCTCTTTTAATTTTCATAACGAGAGCCCAGTTTTGTTTTTGTTTTAATTCCTATTTCTATCCCTGTGGTGGTGGCCGGCTCAGGCACAACGCAAAGGCTTCAGAGCAGATGAGAACCAGTCTTAAACTAACACCAGCGTCAGACACGCTCACCCAGGGAAACAGGGCCTTAAAAAGAGAGCGCGTCAGAGCGCCCCCCAGCGTGGTCACCAGCATGTGAGCTCGAGGTGCTGTGCCTTGGCCCTGGGACGCTGGTGGGCGGTGGGCACCCCCACAAACCTATCTGCCGGGTCACTGGACACCCCACAAGCTTCGTTCCTGACTTGAAGTCCAATTGTTTTTTCAGTGGGAAAGAGTCACATCTTGTTAACGGAAGAATCAGCAGGACAAAGCGTTCAGGGTCCTGGAGGGAAAGCCAGCCCGGAGCGCGGTGGGGGGGCGGGGGGGGCACTGAGGCTCCCAGCTCCCGTTCCCTCTGGGCCAGCTTTGGCAACGTTGTCCCACCCCTCATACTCATACCAAAGCATTTCCACGCCACAAAGAAGCGTCCTGCTTTGACAGCCTTTCAGGGGAAGGGTGCCAAACCTCCAAGCCCCGCTGGGCTGGCGGGGGGAGCGGGGTGGGGATGTGAGCAGGAGAGGGAATGAGGCACCAACTATGGTCTGAGTGATGGGAAAACTTCTCTGCTAAAATTCGAAAACCTTAGGGAAATAAGCCCATCCAGTCCTTCACAGCTGGGTGCACAGAACGGCCCGGTTACTTGGCCTGCTCCTTCTCGACGCTCAGGGAGGAGCACTGACCACACAGAGGCTGGGGCTGTGGGAAGGTAGAGAGGTCACCTGAGGGCAGGGTGCCTGGGAGAGGTGGTCAGGGCGTGGTGCCGGAGGACAGCAGGGCACCCATCGGGGAGAGGTCTGGGGGGCACCCCGGGAGACCTCAAAACACAGTGCACAAGGATCGTCTCCCGTTTGCAAGAACCAGAAAGGCCCACTGCAATGGCAGCATAATTCAAATGCAGTATTTCATTTGCAACAAATTAATTTTAATTGCAAAGTTTCCAGTGTAAAAAGCCAGCAATGTCTTGGAGGGGGGTAAAAAATCCCACGCAATTTAACCACCCAAATTGAAGAAATACTTAAATTACTCTCACATTAGCTAAATTGGTTGTCTCTGGGCTGAATCTAATCTGGCAAAGCTTTAGATGAAAAAAAAAAAAAGAAAGAAACATTTTAATTCCTGAGACTTGGACACCTTTTCCAAAAGCGTTCAGTTCCCTCTCGTGGTTTGTGACTTCCAAGTTTATAAACACAGCCTGAGACACACGGCGACCAACGGCAAGTTCTGCATTTGAACCTCTCAAACCCATACTAACCATGGACCTCTCAGGAACCCACAATATAGACACACAGTGCGTCTTACCCACAGGAAGCCGTGTGCGGTGGACAGCGAATCCGGCTGAGCCTCATTATTCAAGCAAGGTTCAGGATTGTAAGCAGCACATTCAATCTAATGGGGAATAAAATCAAACACCCACATTTAAAACAGGACCGGGAGACATCCTGGCGACACAGTGTCTCAAGCGGGTAAGAGACTACTGACATTTAGTCACAGAAACCGCAGGTTATTACTTGTTGCAGATTAAAACGGGAAAAAGAACAGATCTCAGAAACCAGCTTTTTAGAGGCAAACATCAGTCTTTTTACTCTTGCATCTTCACACCCCGGCACACACCGCAAACGTCCTTCATGAGACAGCACTGAGGTGGCTGCCACTTCCTGGGTGCGGCGGGAGGGCGCACACTCCGCACCTCCTCCCCTCTGCCCACCCGCCTGCCCTCCCAGGAGCTCCAGGGCTGAGTGTCGGCCAGAGCCCAGAAAGGAGAAGTAAGAGTAGACACAAGGCCTCTAACTGTGACCCACTGCGGACACTGAATATGGCCAGGCAAAGGGCAGCAGAGCAGACAGACCTGAGGCGTGTGCCCTCAAGTAACTAACAATGCCTGGAATGCACCAGGTGCAGCAGGGAACCCCCAGCCCCTTGATGGCCACTGGGCAGAATGCACCAGGCACAGTGAGGACCCCCTAGCCCCTTGATGGCCACTGGGCAGAATGCACCAGGCACAGTGAGGACCCCCAGCCC